GAGATAGATAGATAGATAGATAGATAGATAGATAGATAGATAGATAGATAGATAGATAGATAGATAGATAGATAGATAGATAGATAGATAGGTAGCACAAATTCCAGTTCAACGGCAAGCTCTATGCGCTTTACAATCGACATTGAATATGAATTAAGAGTTTCACAACATTCACACCAACAGCTTCAGACACCTTCACTTTTGTCCGAGATCTCAAATCAAATAGAAATGAGTTGACTGTAGAAATAGAAAAGAAAAAAAGAAACACTGAAAACACAAACATTGCGTAATCATCCATCTTAAAATAAGGCCATTCTGATTTCAGGATGTGGCATTTCAGATCACCCATCACTCGATACGAAGTGGGAAAATTACTCTGGAGGATAAGTGAGCTCTTTTATGAGATGTCTTCGCAATTTTGTCCAGCCGCTTTACTTGAGTATCTATAAAATGAGGGTTACGTTATCCTCCACCACCCCCCCCCTCCAAACAAAGGCAACCCTCCACCCTGACCAAAAAATAAACTAAACAATGAGAAATAAAACGCCATCAATGACAAACAATCGGACAAATGAACAAACAGCAACTCTAATCACATTCTGCCCCCCCACCCCACCCCACAAATTAACTCGTCGTTTCCTATCTTTTTTAAATAATGTTTTGGCACTAAATGCCTTTTCTTTCTTTGTTTGAGCACCTGTATGTTATAAGGCACAATTGACACAACTGAAAATTTGTATGTGTGCCTGGAGAAAGGTCCCAGTTGTCGGCAAAGCTGTTTTTGAGCAACAGGGTGAAAAGCTATATTTTAAAAAAGTCGTACTTGGTCCAAAACAAAAGTTCCATCACAAATAACCATTTTTGATAAAATATTGAGAGAACTTTATATTTTCAGTCTAAATATTATGTTTAATTAATTATTTTTGCAACGTACTATACTTCACCAAAAGTTACAATTGTGTTAAAAATTGGGGGTTTTCTCTTAAATTTGTTTTTACTCCTGTTGTAACAAAATGTGGCATATCTTTGAAATTACTCAAGGTATTTGACAAAATTAAAATTCAGCATGCTCAGCATTGAATTTGCTACAAGAACATACCTTTATTTCAATATCCAAAATTTCCGAATACTGAGACATTTCTCCCGGCACACACACGCACACACACACACACACACACACACATACACACACACACACACAAACAAACACACACACACAGGGAGACCTGATTTTCCGTATTGTTTTGCGGCACTATCGACACAACTTAACCCTCTCCCTCCCCTTTCTGTAAACCCCCCCCCACGTTAGCTCCCACCTCCGCGATGTCGGCAAGATGCACTGACCATTTTGGGTGACCAGAGCGATGACCTCCGGCCTATCTTCCGCACGGACAGACCCACCGACCCGTCAGCTACTGTCTTCACCGCCGTGGTGGAACCTCTGAGAAACCGCGTGGAGTTCTACCAGGGTAACCCAGCGCTACCCGAGAACTCACCCTTCATGTACTTCAACGTACTGGACAGATGAATAGAACAGGTAAACGCAGTTGAATCTGTAATTTACACGTATACTCATGATAATATTACCATAATCATGTGCTTCTCTGTCGTTCAGTCCAGGCATTGAGAAGAATAGGAGTGACGTGGTGCTAGCATGTCGTACGATGCGACTAAATGGCGAACCAGGTTGTGACTCCTGAAACAGAGTCATCCTTCGTCCAGGTCGGGGGTTGAGTCTCGAGGCTAACAACCTTTCTCGTAAAAAGAACCTGTTACAGAAAATCATACAAGCAAAAACCATTGTCTCTGCTTGGCTGGTCGTGGATATTCTCCGAATGGAGAGTCTGTGATGCGAGGCAGTGAAAGCCGAAAGGAAGCTGCTGGGCAGAAGCTTCCATCATCATCCAAGTCCTAGTCTCTCCGGATTGGATCGTGGAACGTTAGAATCCTTTATGAGGATGGAAAAACTGCACAGGTCCTCCAAGAGATGCACCGATACCACCTACGCATACTGGGAATCTGCGAGACCCACTTGAACCAGTCTGGACAGAAACGAATGAAAGGGGAGGGGGGGGGCTTTTCATTTATTCACGAAATGACAGTGATGGACCATATAGGGAATGAGTAGGTATGATCATATCCAAAACAGCTCAAAAGGCACTCAGGGGCTGGGAAGCGCCGGGTCCAAGGGTCATCATGGCCTCGTTTGGAACTAAGAAAGAACTCAAGGAAAGAGGTGGTAGGAAGAATGTCATAAACATGGACATCAGACAAGTGTATGCCCCAACCGATGATGCAGAAGAAGAGAATAAAGATGACTTTTACAACCGCCTGCTGAGTATGATCGACAAACTTCCAGGTAAGGACATCAACATTGTCAAGGGAGACCTAAATGCAAAGGTAGATTCGGACAATAGTCACTGTGAGGAAATCATGGGAAGACATGGAATGGGAGAGGCAAATGACAACGGAGAAAAATTCCAGAACTGCTGTGCATTTAACAACTTGGTTATTGGAGGAACAATCTTCCCACATAAATGATTCACAAGGCCACGTGGGTCTCCCCGGATGGAACAACGGAAAACCAGATTGACCATTTTTGCATCTCCCGAAAGTTTAGACGCTCACTGGAGGATGTCCGAGTCTTACGAAGAGCAGACATCAGATCAGACCACCATTTAATCCTTGGAAAGATGAAACTGAAACTGAGAAGATATGCAAAAATCACAACTGGAAGTCGCCAAAAGTATGAAGTGGGCTTTCTTCTGAAAGACCCAGTAAAGAAGAATGAATTCAAGTTGGAACTGAAGAACAGATTTTAAGCCCTTCAAGATCTGGATGAATGTGAAGTAAACGAGCACTGAGAAAAGATCAAAGAGAGACAGTAAATGCAACTTGCCAGAGCACCCTTGGACTCAAAGTCAACACCAGGAATGAATGGATTTCACAGGACTCGCTAGACAAAGTCAAAAGAAGAAGAGAGCTGAAGGCCTAAGTCAACAACAGCCGTACCCAAACTGAGAGACTCACTGTATAACAAGAGTACACCGAAGTACACCGGGAGGCAAAGAATTCCATCCAGAAGGACAAGAATACCTACCTGAATGGCTCGGCCGAAAAGGCAGAGAGAGCAGCAACAGACGGACACTTATGGGTTGTACACCAGACAACAAAAACTCTTTCAGATAGGTTCTGCTAGCCCACTTAACCTGTGAAAGACAAAGAGGGAAAGACTATCTTCGACCCAGAGGGACAACTGAACCGATGGAGAGAACACTTTGACCAACTCTTGAACAGACCACCTCCAAAAAAAACAACCAGAAATTCTTCCTGCCAGAAATGGCTTCCCATTAGTTATGGAACCACCTTCGAGAGAGGAAATTGCAGCAGCTATAACAGCACTGAAGTCCCACAAGGCAGTTGGTCCTGACCATATACCACCGGAAACCCTTAAGGCAGATAAAGATACTTCAGTGGAAATTCTGTATACTCTATTTGAAAAGGTTTGGCAAGAGGAGGAAACACCATCAGACTGGAAGGAAGCCACCTAATCAAGCTGCCAAAGAAGGGAGACCTCAGCAATTGTAACAACTACAGAGGCATAACACTCCTATCCATGCCTGGGAAAGTCTTTAACAGGATACTCCTGGGGAGAATCAAGCTGGCAACAGATGAAAAGCTCAGAGGAAACCAGGCAGGATTCCGCAAGAACCGCTCACGTGTGGATCAGATTTCTACTCTGCACATCATTGTTGAGCAATCGCTTGAATGGAATTCACCACTCGTGGTTAACTTCATTGATTAAGAAAAGGCGTTTGACCGCGTGGACAGTAAAACTCTGTGGAAACTCATGCGGCATTATGGAATACCTGACAAGATCGTCAAACTTGTGAAGGCCAACTATGATTGAACATACTGCCTAGTCTTCCGCGAAGAACAACTCTCAGAATCATTCCAGGTACAGACAGGAGTGCGACAAGGACGCTTGCTCTCGCCTTTTCTCTTCATACCGGCAATTGACTGCGTCATGAAAGAAGCCACCAGAGGCAAGCGCAAAGAAATACAGTGGATCCCCTGGTAACAGCCTGGTAGACTTGAACTTCACTGCTCTCTCACACACATGCTCAGATGAAAGAAAAGATCAAGGAACTCAACAGCCTATCAATGAGTGTGGGCCTTCGTATACATTCGGGTAAGTCGAAAGTAGTGAAGCTAGGAAAAGTTTCAAGCCCTGCGGTGACAGTGAAAGACCCCCCTTGGAAGAAGTGGACTCAGTTATCTACCTTGGAAGTGTCATCGAGGGTAAAGGTGGAACTGAATCAGATGTAAAGGCAAGAACCGCCAAGGCAAGGTCAGCATTCAACCAATTATCAAATGTCTGGAAAGCAAGCAACAGCTCACTGCGCACCAAGATTTGACTCTTTTATTCCAATGTGCTCCTCTACGGCTGCGAGACTTGGAAGACAACAAAGACAGTGCTGAATAAAGTCAATAATTTCATTTTTCAGATGTATGAGGAGTATTCTAAGAATTAAGTTGCAGGATAGAATAAGAAATGACGGGTTTTGGGAAAGGATAGGACAGAAGGATATAGGCCTAAGAAAGTGGCGATGGATGGGACACACCTTCAGAAAGCACAGCGGAAACATTACAAGACAGTCGCTGCAGTGGAACCACAGGGAGCACGAGGCAGGGTTAGGCCACTGGAAAGATGGAAGAGATGTGTGGAAAAGGACATGAGAGAGATGAAGTTCACTTGGAACGAGCTGGGAAGGATGGCCCAGGACAGAGATAAATGGAAGGAGTTTGTATGTGGCCTATACCCTGCCATGGGAGAAAGGCATTAATTGATGATGGTGATGTGCTTCTATCAAAATGATTTATAAACACAATGTCATGCATGTTCAAATCAGCTCATTTATATAGCGATACTGCTTCCTGGATTATCTAAATAAATCGAGGGGATCGTAATTTCATTTACAATTACAATTACATCAACACAACACAATTTAGATCTTTGGGGAGGGGGCCTGTTTAAAAAAGATACAACATCCCAACAGACCGACAGAAATACTCGATGAAACAACGTCTCGAGCACACGCCTTCTGAATAAACAGCAATGAACTAAACCATTCCACCAGTAGCCATCATGTAAATTGCGTCAATAGGGGCGTAAACCCCTACGTTTCTTTTCTTTCTTTCGTTTCCCCAGAACCTAGCACTGGCAGGACTAACGAACCGTAATATTATTATGACCTCCCTCAATTTGTGTCTGTGGACAGCGCTTATCAAGTCAGGGTATAGGCACCCACTTGTCATGTTCTTGAGAGCAGACATGAAGCAGACTGAACTGAAGTCAAGGCCACAGCGACCGGCCCAATTAAATCCCTCGGAAATGACCTTGACCTTCATCATGGCCGATCCAAAGATTTTTTACAAGATGATTCACTCCATTTGACATTTAAACTATAAGCGGATGATATAATGTTGATACTGCCTCTCAAGTAATCAGAAAGAGCTTTAAATGTTTGTTTGAATTAATGTTTTGCAGTACTATCGTTACAATTTTGTTAAAAGTGTTAAAACATGTGGTTTTTAACTGAGTCAAAGTCGACCTTGCTTGTTGTAATCTATGTCCTGTGTGGGACTGTATCGTTGAGATTCTGTGCAACTCATCGTTCACGTTTTGGTTAGTTTTTGCATTTTATGTTCTACTTTTTAAGTTCGGGTAGGGATTTGGGCTGTTTTGTTTGTTTGTTTGTTGTTGTTGTTTTGTTTTTTTTTTGTTGTTGTTGATGTTTTTTGTTGGGGGGGTTTGGGGGGGGTGGGGGTGGGGGGTCATGGGGGGAGGGTTTCAAATCCTTTGAATATTATTCCCCCTGATCTCTGTGGAGACAAACTATTTCTCTTCTTTCAAAGAACTATCTAGTAAAACAACTGCGGCAGCAACTACACCATTATCATCATCACCACAACAACTTTTGTTTAATTATTTGTTTGTATAAAGTAACAACAACAACAACAACAACAACAACAACAACAACAACAATAACAACAACAACAACAACAACAACAACGTCGACGATGACTTCAACAACAGCACCAACAACAACAACAGCAGCAGCAGCAGTAACAACAACAACAAAAATAACAATCACCATAACAACAAAACAACAACAGCATCAACAACAAAAACAACATTTACTACAGCAACAAACAGCAACAACTACAACAACAATTACAACAACAGCAACAACGGTACGTTGGCTGATGCTGAATAAGCAGGGCAAATTCACGAGCAGTTCCGTGACGTAATGTCGCAAGAAATTGGTAACTTACAATGGAAGGAGACATAACGGCGACCCAAATCGCTGCTCTTGAATTACAAAGTTCAGTCTGACATTTTGGGCAGTTTTGAGTTCTTTTACTTTAGTTTTAGTAATAGTTTTATGGCACTTGCAACACAATAAGGTCGTATAAGTGCCGAAGAATAGATTAGGTATTACAAGAGAGTAACACACACAAAAGAGAAGGAGGATAGGAAAGAAGGAGCAAACCACACCAGAGCACCCGCCAACCACCCACGGGCCGTTTTGATTATTACGACCATGACATCAAAAACCAAATGCTCTAACTGCTCCATCAAAATTATAAGATTAATTTGCAGTCGTTATCAAGGTTAGTGCGCTCGTCTCCAAAGCGGAAAGTCCGTGTTTGAGCCTCGGTTCGGATACGGATTTTTTTCGCCCCCTCCTGCCCATCCAGCAGTAATGAGTACCTGACTTCTCGAGTTGGGGAAGTAAAGGGAGCGTGAAAAGGAGCTGGCCACCCTACCACCCTACCACAATATGACGAAGGCCCAGGAAGTTGTCTCACTAACAAGGCAGCCACCCAATGTCCGGATCGGATGCTGGAACAACTTTACTTTTTACTTTATCAAGATATTCGACGAATTGCATTCGAAAGAGCTTGACATGTTGTAAAACTCAAAATCTTTGACGTTAAATTTCTCAAAACTAGGTACTGGGCAGATAGAGCTTTGTAGTTCTGAGGTAGCGAAATGTAGCCACACATAGAGTGAAAACTTTGCTTGTGCGTAATAGGTCAAGAAATTTCCTAATGGCGGGGAATGTTCACGTTTACCCTTACTTGATTAATTAAAGGGAGGTAATAACAAAAAACAACATATTCTATTTTATAATTTGAGTTGTAGAACGTTGAGTCATACGACTCAAGGGAGGTTTTATTCTAACGTCCTTGCTCAATCCGAAGACAGGCACCTTAATTGTTTGATTTGAGATAGAGAAACTGTCGGGAACATCAACATGGGATACACAGGGCCGTCGAGAGCCAGGTCGGGCCCTGGGGCAGCAATCACCTTCGGGCCCCTCCTCCCCCCGGCCCCATCCACCCTCACCTTCAATTTAATAACCCAACAATGTACATAAGCATATATAATCACTTCACGGTAGCATATCTATTGTCATTACATACCAACATACGCTCTCTCTCTCTCTCTCTCTCTCTCTCTCTCTCTCTCTCTCTCTCTCTCTCATACACACACACACTCTCTCTCTCTTTCTCTCCCGCCCCCCTCCATCACAAGTGCTGGGTGTTGTCAACATTTAAAAATTTCTGATTTACCGGGTAGTTGAAAACGAAGGTAAGATGAATAAACTAATGACAGAAATTAAAATTGTAATGTAGCATACCCTTTGTTCTTACAACAACGGAGCCTTGCGGGATTTAGCTCTAGCAAAGCTGTCAATTATTGGTTCGTAGTTCAATTTCCGCACTAGACTGGCCTCTATGGCCACCAAAGTTCAAAGACGTGTGAGTCTGTCTGACATATTGAGGACCACAAAATGTTTTTCACCCGAGAAAGGGTACTGAAGGAACGTTCAGCTTGCACACCTGTGATAGGCAAGGTGCAGAGGATTCTCCACATGATTACAACGTTCGGAAACAAAGTATCCAGTTTCAGGGAATGTTCAGCAACTGAAGAGGCGGCAGGACATTTTCTCCTATGTTCGCTGAATGAATCACTTTCATACGTTCCATCTCTTGCGCAAGGTCTGCTGATGCATCCACTGCATATTCCGTGTGCAATTTGTTAACAAGATCACGAATAACGCCGACTTCCTCTTGGGGATATTTCCACAAAACACTAAATAACGAATCGAGTTTTGTCACTGCTTTATACCTTGTCGTCAAATTTCCAAGAATGCAGTCAAGGAGGACATAAAAAAACTTCATGTTTGAGTTTGTTCTCGGGATTTTGGTAGTCTGTTACATTTTCTGTCTCGTCTGCAAAAAGCTTTATTTTTTTTTATTTATTTTTTGGGGGGTCGTTTTGCTGTTTCGGCGAATGCATGCTCCATCTTATAGTTATCTGCTACTAATTTGGACCCACTCAAGATTGCGTCCCATTCATCTCTTAAGCTTTTCAGATCTTTAATCAGACTATTGAAATTTGCAACCTCAACGTCAAGTCTCGCATCTCGTGCTTGAAGCACTCTATTTCTGTGATCGATCGTTGTGAGGATTTTGAGCCAAATAGAGGCCATTATCACACATTTAAATGATGCAAAGCACTTAAGAATACCAATCAAATCTGAACGTGTTTCTGGGGTGAGGCTCATTTGAAGAACAGTTTGAACAGCTTCCGTCAGTCCCCCGATGTGAGCCGCAAAAGGCCTGACACAGTCAACACGTGCTGACCAACGTGTCTGCGACATACAACATGTACTGGGCAAAGAGCTGGGAATGTTTTGCTTCAAAATTTCCCACCTTTGTGGACTGGAGCTAAAATGTTATACAGCTTCTGTACAACTCCAAAGAAAGTTATAACTGTTGAACAGCTTTCTGCAGAATGCACGCCATACAAATTCAAACTATGACAGCCACAGGGAGAGTATGTGGCAAGTGAACACTGTCTTAAAATGTGAGTCTGTGCACCATTTTACAGACCACACATGTCGCTACTGTTGTCGTAGCCTTGGCCTCGACAGTCTGTAATTGGAACGGGGTTTTTTTCCTTCAGTGTATCCGGGATCATTTTAGCGACGTCTTCTGTTTTCTTGTTACAATCTACCAGTTTCAGAAATCTCTCTTCTACTTCGTAGACATTGGTATCACTGTCCAAGTGAATCTAACGCAAAATAAAAACAGTTTGTTCGACGTGTGAATGAAGAGTCTGGAGTTGCATCAACGATAATGGAATAACATTTCGTTTCCGCTCTTTCATTCAAAATCAAATCTGTCACTTTTGACGCACATTGGATGAATTCATTTTGACTTTCTGGTGATAGATAACGAACTTGTAGTCGCCTTTTTTCTTTTTGTGATTTTTCAACTTTTGTAAGATGCTCTGCAAGGAGAGGATCGTAATGGCCAATCAATTCCAGAAATGTCTATTACTCGGATCTCTGACAAGACAATTGCGTCCCCTAAAAGCTAAACCCCGTTCTGCTAGGAATAATGTAACTATGTAACATCAAGCAGTCGTCGCAGTATCTGTTTCCACACTATCTGTTCATTTTTAATTCTCTCACAGAGAAGGCTGTCAACAGTAGAGTTGGTTGAGATACTTTGTTCCACAGCGCGCCATTTAACATAACATGTTCTGTGGGTGGAACTGTTTTCATATTGTGGAATTTTTCCGTTCATTTTTTTCCAAGCCTTATCAGTTCCATAACCAGCAGATCTAGTAAGAGATGATCGAAATGGCACTGGAAACTTGCTGAAAAGTCGACAAGGAAAACAGACAAATGCTTGTTTCGTGCTACTCCACGCGAGCAAATCACAAATCAGTCTCACCGTTTGGCATTGTTTAAGTACAGAAAGAGGAAAAGCACAGCTCAACTTGCAGCCAAAATATATTTTATTTCAAAGCTTTGTACGGTACTCTCTCAACTTGCAGCCAAAATATATTTTATTTCAAAGCTTTGTACGGTACTCT